GCGGATATCCCGCATATCATAACAGAAATAACCTACAAAGGGAGCCATGGAAGGAGCGCCTTCATACTTAATATCTATAGTCCCCCAAGACAAAAGAGAGCAACGTTTGACAAGCTCTTTCAAGAGACAGCAAAACTGGCGAAAGGGAATCCATTAATCATAGTTGGGGACTTTAATGCCAGGCATGCAAGCTGGGGATATAAGATGCAAGACACCAAAGGCAAGAATATCGCAAGACAAATAGAGAAACTGGAAATGACTCTGTTAACTGACCCTGCAATACCAACGAGGATAGGCAACAGCGTATTCATGGACACAAGTCTGGACTTGACGATAGTACAAAACTGCCACAGCGTGGACTGGTACAACACCCTTGAAAACCTGGGCAGTGATCATTACATACTAAGCACCACAATCCGCTGCGGCCGAATCCGCAAACACATCAGCACAGCCAAAATTACAGACTGGCATGCATATAGAAAAGCGCTAAAAGCGCACGTGATCGCCATAGACGACTTGGACGAGTGGTGCAAAGTAATTCGAAATGAAAAGCAAATGCACACCAAAACAGTCACCAGAACAGATGATACCCCTGAAGTAGACGCTCACCTTCTTCACCTGTGGGAATCAAGAAGAAACCTCACTAAAAGATGGAAAAGGCAATAGCGAAATAAGAAACTCAAAGCGAAAATTGAATAAATAACGCAGCAGGCCGAACAGTACGCTAAACAACTCGCAACAGCCAACTGGGAACAATTTTGCGATTCACTAAGTGGAACCCTAGGAACAGCAAAGACATGGAATATCCTAAGAGCCATGATTCTAAGATCATGATCCTAAGAGCCACTCTGGAAACTAAACGCGAAGGACAAAAATCTCTAGAAAGATTATTGCACACATATCTAGGCACACGAGATGATCTCCTTCAAGACATCTATATTAAGTGTTACGGCGCCCGAGCCATCACAGCCCCTACCAGGCTAAATACACTGGGCTCCCAAACTCGGAACTGGATGCACCTTTCACGCATGCCGAGGTCAGAGCGGCAATCGTCAGCATGAAACGCAACACAGCGCCTGGGGCAGATCAAATCACCAATGCCATGATTCGCAACATGAATGACGAAGCCATAACAGCGCTTCTAAACTTCATTAACAAACACTGTGTGAATGGCACTATACCTCAGCAATGGAAGCATGCTGTAATAATTATGATACCCAAACCAGGAAAAAAATTGGCAATAGAAAACCTCAGGCCAATCTCTCTTACCTCGTGCTTAGGCAAAATGTTTGAGAGATTTATAAATACCAGATTTCAATGGCACCTTGAACAAAATAACTTGTTGCCAAACACCATGTTTGGTTTCCGCTCGAACCTTTCGACACAGGACATCCTTCTGCTTTTAAAGAAGGAAGTACTAACAAATGTTCCAAAAGCAGGAGAAAACATTGTCATGGCCATCGACATAAAAGGCGCTTTCGACAATGCAAGCCATAAGGCCATATTAGATAAGCTAGCAGCGACAAACTGCGGTCCAAGGACGTACAAATATGTGCAGAACTTCTTACTAAAAGAACCACTGTTATCAGATTAGGAGAAGACGAATCCAATGTCTTCTACCCACCGAGCAAAGGCACACCACAAGGCGCTGTGATCTCGCCAACGCTTTTCAACATAGCCATGATTGGTCTAGCCAAAAAACTGGAAGGTATTCCCGACATCCGACACTCCTTCTATGCGGATGATATCACTATATGGACAACCAAGATTAGCTTGGCAGAAAAAGAAGAGAGGCTTCAACTGGCAGCTAAAACCATCGAAGATTACACTAAAGAAACGGGACTTCAGTGCTCAGCAGACAAATTGGAACTCAATCGGTTCTCCAAGAGTAAAAAAACAAAGGACAGACCCGAGCCTCCGCCTTGAGGTCAAGCTAGACGGCAATATTATTCCAGAGAAAACAACCGTTCGAATCTTAGGGATGTAGTTACAGTCCAATCAGCGATGTCTCCACACACTAAATATGCTTAAATGAACAGCTCAACAAATTGTTCGTATGATAGTTCGAATAACGAACAATCGTGCTGGACTGAAAGAACAAGACGTGCTTCGTTTGGTAAAGAGCTTAGTCATCAGCAGACTAACATACTCGCTACCCTACCACAACATGAATAGAGAGGAGAAAAAAAAAGCAAACAAAATAATAATAAGGATGGCATATAAAACGGCTCTGCGACTACCGCAAAGCACTTCAACTGCGAAGCTATTAGCGCTCGTACTTCACAATACATTTGATGAGTTGGCTGAGGCACAAGTAACCACCCAGATTAACCGCCTGCTACAGACGCCAACCGGCAGAAAACTTCTTCAGAGGATCGGCCTCGGTGAACAAGTACAGGCACATGGAAGAGCTAAGGAATTGTGCTCAGTCAGAGCCTGGTACAAAATATGCCCCCTACCGAAGAACATGGACCCAGTTTTACATGCTGGAAGACGTAAAGCAAGAGCTGCTTAGATAGATAAAAAGACAAAATATTTGAATACGGCGAGATTTACTGACGCTGCACCATATCAGGCAAATGCAAAGAACATGGTGGCTGAGGTCTCAGACCGAAAAGGAAACGTCACAAGTTGTGCCTCCATAGCCCAAGTCTCTATCACAGAAGCGGAGGAGATAGCGATCGCGCTCGCAATCAAGAAGGGCCGGGAGCGAAAAGCCCCAATGACAATAATCACAGATTCGAAGGCTGTATGTAGAAATTACGAAAAAGGTAGAATATGTATGAAGGCCTTCCAAATTCTAACCAAAGCTCATAAGGACTTCCCCATTGAATAAACCCAAACCATTATCTGGGCGCCAGGGCTTGAGGGCATAACCGGGAACCAGTTTGCGGATGAGGCGGCTCGAGGCTTCACAAATTACCGAGCTTCCTTGCACACTGCGATAGAGGATCCAACGCCCCTAGACCCTAACTTTGGTACAATTCTTCAGTATTACAGGGACAATAGGAAAAGTGTATCCAGCACCGCATAAGAAACTCACAGCCATGGAATCGGTGGTATTACGCCGAATCCAAACAAATACATATACGAATTTACACAGGCTGCATGTATTCTACCCCACAGCATACAAAGATATATGTCCGTGGTGTGGGGCCACACCAACTCTGTTTCACATCACGTGGGAGTGTACGCATTACAATGAAGAACACCACACCATGAACAACACAGAGGAACAATGGGAGGCGCTGCTGTCCAGCTCGGCCATTGTTGATCGCTGGCTGGTCCAACCGGTAGAGATGATGGCTAGGGCTAGCGGAGCCCTGGAATAGGGGCCCGACCATTTAAAATGCTCAGTGTTATGCGCAAATAAAGTTTTCTCTCTCTCTCTCATACGCACGTGCCACACAAGCGCCAGCAAATCGAATGCACTGACAGTCGCCATGGCCAGCTGCAGTAGCATCCAGGCAGTTGCAAGGCAAAAGGCAGTGAGAAAGAAACAAAGCGTTTATATTTACAACGTATGTGCAGAACATCAACGAGGAAGCTGGCCGACGCTGGATGCGCCGGCCTTTCATAGGTGCCGATACGCTGAAGGAGCAGGGAGCAGCCCCGATGTTGGATGCGTGCGGCGTCCCTGACTAGACAAGGATGCGTCGAGTGTCTCTTCGAAAGCACCCAGTGTCCTTGACGGACGCACACAGTTTTTCTGAAAGGGACACCATCACACTCGTCACTACAGACCTGGTGTGACGTCACAACAACTGCCGTTGCTTCTCCTATTCCGAAAAGTCAGTGTTTTTGTGCAAGCGATGGGTCTACATCGTGAGAGTGGGCATTCGATACACTTTTAGAAGTGAATTAAAGTATATTCTACGCATTTTTTTTGGTCTGATCCTTCGTGTGGAGAGTCCTTGCATAAAGAGAAAACCCACAACAGGCTTTGGATAGCCTCGAAATTTGGTGTTATTACTCGTTCAAGACGTTAGCCCGACTGTATGGCTGTACGTATCATGGGAACACGTGCAGGGTAGGAGGGGGAGGGGGTCAAAAGTTCCTGCAGGCCACAATCCCTTGGAAATACGTGGAATAGTAGCCTGAAAACTTTTGACCTACCCCCCACCCACCCCTGTACATAATGTTCATACATTTGAATAGCCCGCACTGCAACCACAATTGCCATTTCACGAACATTACGGTTTATTTGAAAAGCGCTGCAGTTCTGAGACCTAGCATGGCTGTGTTGTAGATTACTTTATTGCCAAGTAGAAGGCTGGGGTTTGATTTCTGCTGGAACCTTGACCTTTATTATTAAAAATTGTCAGCTTTTTCTTAACCTTCTCGCATGATGGTTGCCAACGTCTGCTCTTGCCATTCCTGGGTCAATCGCCAGTGGCATATATACCTGAGGCACATTCCCACCCAAGGGGATGTGCTTTACATTTGGTGGAAAGGGTTTGATGACATAAGCGACAGGATTGTGGCATTATTCATGTCATGACCAGGGAGTTATATTCATCAAGCCATCTTAAGCTCCCGTACTAATTTTGGTCTACCCAATTAAGTAAAGGGGGTGATCATGAGAGCAGTGTTAGATAGATAGACAGATAGACGAATGGATAGATGGATAGATAGATAGATAGATAGATAGATAGATCGTAACATACCAAGAGTGCTTGCACTGTGCAAAAGGAATGTTTTGCATTTAAAATTTGTGTCACCCCAAAATTTATAGTATCTGTGATCATATCACCAAGATTTCTCGGTACCTATTTGAATAGATGCTTTCAAGTTTTAGCCCCTCTCCACTGCAGTGACACCATATTCACAGAGGTTACATGTGGACTAACACACATGCATTTCGAAAACTTCAAAGTTTGCACCAATTTAAATTCAAATCGAATGAAATTCAACTACAGTAACATTCCTTCAAACATTCATAGGATTTGAATATTCGCACAAGCCTAGTGCGCACACATCCGGAAGAAGACACAAGTACATCATGAAAAAAGTATTTATTATTATTACAATGAAATTCCTTATATGGTTGGTTCAGTAAGAGAAAAAGAAAAAAAAGCTGTGCGTCCTGCACATGTACTTGCAAAAAGGGATGGCGGCATAATGTACATTGCTGAATGCCACTGAACCTAACTTATAACTTGCAGCACATTTTCTGCAAATGCGTAACACAATTGGTACATGAAGATTGTGTGATGTCATACTTGCAACGAAAAATTTAATATTTAAACTTACGCATGTGTATTTTATGAGAGTTTTCATAATAATGGTTTTCATTAATTCTCACTAATGTTATGAACAGCATGTCCTAATTTCTTGTCATCGTAGCAATTGGTGTGTGTCAAAAGGTCCACCTATGCCCTTTTCTTTCTGTTGCAGCTCGCAACATTAAGCTATGACTTTCTAAATCTTTGTTTCCAATGGCAAAGTGGAATAGTGGGCTGGAGCACCAGGAGAGGTGAAATTGATAGATCTTCAGTAGCTGTTCTGGACCTGTAAAAAGAAGGAGTACAGAAATTTGGCATGGTTTAACACAAGATGCAGCTACAAAATACAACATAAAAATTGTAAGTACTGCTGCAAAATATTATTCATGGAACAATGTTCATAAGTCATAAGACAACTGACGATACAGTTAGTGACTCAGAGCAAACCCACTGTGTTACACGTGCCTGGTGAATTAATTTTCTGAGCCAGATTGAGGGTGTATGTTTCAGTATGCTGTCTCAAAACTCCCCTTACCCTGTTTCTACAGCTGCCCATCTGAGTCGCTGATTGTTACTGCACGCCATCAGTTTTTTCAGCATTGCCTAAGTATATATATTGGCTGATATTGAATTAATAAATAATTAGGTTTTTGTTTTCAAAAAGAAATACATTAAATTTGTTTTCTATAATACAATGTGTAAAACTATCATTTAAACTGTTTTTTTTTTCCCTTAAAAAGGTGCGCTCTTATTTCCTAGCTATTTCGGTTTTTTACTGCGAATACGCTCTTTCTTTGCCACTCAGCACTGTGTAGCCTGAAGTACAACTCGGGGTCCCATAAAGCACACTTTGGAGAGAGGAAGCTGTTGGGTATGGCATCGAGAATGTTGCCATGTGATGCGGTGTCGACGTGTTCTTTCCGCAAGAGCTGTCTGGTCTATGTACAAAAATAAATTAATGCCTGAGCTCTTGCGCACGTGATGCTGGATGGAGCATATTAATAAGTTTGTGGACTGTGATGTAAGAATTGTCTTTCAAATACCGTTGTCTGCTGCGAAACCTAGATAGGGCAGAGTGGCAGATGCATCAAAAGAGCAGAAATTCACACTAACTGAAGATCAACTATCTACCCCCACAAACTGTTGCCACGAGTTTGGCTGCTCCCCATTTTGAAGACGAAATGATTTCAACTCATTAGACACAGCAAATAGCCCGAGAAACAGTCGGAGCCTTCTATATTGAAAGGAAAGGGAAGTCATGGGTCAGCAGGCCGTCGATCAACTTGAGTGACATTAGACTCGATTATCTAACACTTGCAAGAGATGATGCATCGAAAGAAACATGATGTGACCCTTGTAATCTGTAATTTTAGTTGTTTAGCATTTTTTTGAGCTACATAGTTGAGTTATAGCCTAGATATTTATTATTGTTTCTTCAAGAAAAACTTTCAGTTGAAAGTTGGCCTTAGTCCTGTTTGCTTCTTTTGTTTCGTCTCTTATCCCCGTTCGCACTGCACTTTACATGTGATGAAGAGCAAGAGGTTTCCAGCTGACTTCGAAATGTAATTTTAAATTTTTTTTCGCATGTCGCGCATGAATATTTGGCTCACTCACATATTGGCAGATACTTCCATTGTTGGTCAGCATATCTTCTGACAATTTTCAAGAAGTTTGGCAGGACCCCTAAAGTTCTGCCATCAAGCCAATTCTATCACTGTTGCTCAGCCGTACATGTCAGTCTCATGTCCTCCGCCCCATGTCTGCTGATACCAAAACAAACAGCAGTGCTCAAAAAACACTACAGAACATCTCAACTGACGATGAAATTGTTCTGTTTATTATGTGATTTACATAAAGAAAACACTCATGAGTCTATATGCAATGGTGAGTTATGTCTATATCGTAATATTACATAGTGAAAACAAATGTTGCAATGCCTTCTTTATGCTGTGAACTTGGTGAGATATGTTTAAATAAATAAATAAAATGCCAGGGCCATGGCCAGCTCACATCAGCAGCTTCAGAATTAATGGAGACGTGAAGCCCTCAGATGCTGGGAAAGCCAACGTTCAATCTTTTCCTCTTCTGGCACGACAAACAAGCGGTCTGCTCTTTCTTCCATCTCTGTGGCCAGCCGCTCCAGCTCCAGCAGCAGTTTCAACTGCAAAATTGAGCAGTGTGATGTGTTTAGGCATGTTGCCCTGATCAGAGAAAGTACTAAATGGCTCACCGTGTCTGGCTGGCTTGGATGAGATTTACTTTTTGAGGAGCTTCTGTTGAAAGCATGACCGTGCAGAATGCGAGCCTTGGTTCTAAGGTAGCGGAGGTATTCATGGAACAACATCCCTGGATATGTCTGGTCATGACGAAGGTTTTGTTGCAGGAGAAACCGTGCCACCTGGTAAAATTCAGATCACCAAAACAGTGTGACATACTTCATAAACAAATGTGCAGAAATTTGCTCATTGGTACTGTGAGTGTAAATAACTTCCTGATAATGCAATTCATCGAAAGAGAAAACCTGCCTGAAAGGCTCTTCATGTATCTGAGTCTATGAAGAAGACGAATGTTAAACTACCGAGCTACAGATGTGGCCTTATCTGTCAGTGAACTGTTGATTGCATGCATTGAAACAGCAGACAGCAACACATGGAGGGTTATCGCTTGTGTGAAGAAGATGTGCCTGCGGCGAGCAGCATCGCCAATGCCCGGCTCTCTCGGCTCGTGCCTCGGCTCGCTGCTGTGCTGATCTCTGCTGGACGGTTCTTCACGCTGTCTTGCCGTTGTCGTTATCGACTAATAAACCTCGTCACATTTGGTGGAGAGTGCTGTTCATCCCCGTCGCTACACCCTGGAACTCCGAAGCCGCACGCTACCGCCCGTCATGACTGACAACGCCAACCCATCGACATCGTCGCCCCAGTTCAACTGCCCCGGCCATCCTAGGCTACGGGACCCGAAAGTCTTCAGCGGTGCGGATGGGACCGACGTGGAAGACTGACTTGAGCACTACGAGCTGGTGAGCGCCAATAACAAGTCGGATGAAGCCGACAAGCTCGGCCATGTCATATTTTATCTCACCAGCGTCGCAGAATTGTGGTTTAACAACCACAAACACAATATTCCCACATGGAGCGTCTTCAAGACGTCATGTGCTGAAGTGTTTGGTCTGCCGGCTGTCCGCAAGCAGAGGGCAGAACAGCGCTTGCGCGTCTGCTCTCAGCAGACTGGCGAAAATTTCACCAGCTATATTGAGGATGTCGTCGACCTTTGTCGACGTGCGAATGACACCATGCCCGAGTCGGACAAGGTCAAACACATCCTGAAGGGCATCGACGATGGCGCATTTCAAATGCTCTTGGCTAGAAATCCGAGCACAGTTTCTGAAGTCGTCAGCTTATGTCAGAGCTACGACGAGTTGAAGAAGCAACGCTCTCTGACTCGACAACCTCAGCGTGGTGGTGAGTCGCTGTCCAGTTTCGACACCATGCCTGACAATTCACCATTGCTTCAGCAAGTCCGAGCCTTCGTCCGTGAGGAAGTCGCCCGCCAACTTTCTCTAGTGCCTTTTGCTCACAAGACCACCACCCGTCTACCCGCCCCGCTTCGCACTGCTATATCGGAAGAGGTTGCACAAGCTGTGCCCCTTGCGCACTACGAGCCGCCTCTATCTAGCCGTGTCCACTGCCCGCGTGTTGCACAGCTGGTAGGTGCCTCTGCCGCCTATCTGCCAGCGATTCAGCCTGTAACCGTGTCCCTAACGTATGCAGCGCAGCCTGTGGCTCCTCCTGTCGCCTGTTCGCAAGAGATGCAGCCCGTAGCCGCCCCGCTCACATACGCAGACGCTGTGCGTAGGCTTCCGCAACCGCCCTACACCACGCGCTCACAGCCCGCACACCTGGCTGCTTATACTGCACCTTGGGCGGCAGCACCAGTCGCCAATCCCTGGAGGACGCCCGATAACCGACCGATTTGCTACGCCTGCTTCACTCCCGGACACGTTGCTCGCCACTGCCGCCGTCGACCTCAGACGTTCGGCAACTATGCCTGGTCGTCGCAACCCGGCAGCCAACCCTTCGTTCAATACGGGCCGGTCTCGTCACCTCGCTATGCCCCTACTGACCACCTTGACTTCCAGCCGCAGCGCGCACCCTCTCCTTGTCGGCGATCGCCCTCCCCCATGCATCGCTGGCCCGGACTTTCCGAACAGGAAAACTAAGCACCGCAGTTCAAGAGGCAAGAACTGCGCCGTTTTCAAACCGTCTAAGCCCTCGCCCCTCTCCTACTAACGTGGTCGCAGTAACTGTTGAAGGTTATTGTACTTTCGCCCTTGTGGACACCGGCGCAGCTGTTTCTGTTATTGCCGCTAATCTCTGCCGTTTATTGCACAAAGTCACGACGCCGCTTTCGGGACTGTCACTACACACCGCAAGCGCACAGCAAGTAACGCCTCTCGCAGCCTGCATTGCAAGAGTGTCCATCGAAGGCAATCTTTACATCGTGGAATTTATTGTTCTTGCTGTCTGTTCGCATGACGTCATCCTCGGGTGGGACTTCCTATCCCGCCATAATGCCGTCATCGACTGTGCTCGCGCCCAAGTTGAGTTTTCACCCTTGTGTGATGTCCCATTACTTGACGCTGTTCATCAGCGGGCGAAGTTGCTCGTTCATGAAGATACCGATATTCCATCTAGAAATTTTGCCCTTGTTCCCGTTTCATGCAACGCCTACACTGACGCTACATGCCTTTTTATGCTTTCCGATATCTTCAAGAGTCGTCGAGCTCTGCCGCTGTGCCGCTGCCTTTCGCAACAATTGACCTTGCCGCCGGAAGAAGCAATATGTTCGTAAGCAATCCGCTTTCCACATCTGTCACTTTGCTTGCGGGGGAATGTCTCGGCCGCGTGCAGGATTTCGACCCTTCGGCTTTGGTTGATGTCCCGGATGACTACTGCGACCACCCAAAATCACTGTCGGCACTCGAAGAGTCATCCAAGGATACGTTTTCTAGCGCCATTGCCGACACTCTCACTCCCACCGAACATGCCGACCTGCTGGATCTTCTGCAAGAGTTCAGGAGTTCTTTTGATGTGTCGCAGCCTCAACTGGGCCGCACGTCACAAGTCAAACATCATGTTGACACCGGCCTACACCAGCCACTGCGTCAAAGACAATACCGTGTCTCCGCTAAAGAGCGCCGCGTCATCAACGATCAAGTCGAAGATATGCTTCGTAGAGACATCATTAGACCATCTCACAGTCCCTGGGCGTCTCCTGTCGTCCTCGTGCGTAAGAAAGACGGATCTATTTGATTTTGCGTGGACTATCGTCATTTGAACAAGATAACCAGCAAGGACGTCTATTCTTTGCCGCGCATTGATGACGCCATCGACACCCTTCACGGAGCGGAATTTTTCTCGTCGCTAAATTTGTGGTCTGGCTATTGGCAAGTCCCAATGGCTGAAGCCGATCGCCAAAAAACGGCATTTATTACACCAGACGGACTATACGAGTTTATCGTCATGCCCTTTGGGCTTTGTAACGCGCCTGCCACGTTTGAACGTCTTATGAATAATACGCTACGTGGCCTCAAGTGGCATATGTGCCTTTGTTACCTCGACGATGTCGTGGTTCTCTCCCATGATTTTCCTAAGCACCTCCTTCGCCTCAGGCACGTTTTGACTTGCCTGATCAACGCTGGCGGGCAGCTTAACCTGAAAAAATGCCGGTTCGCAGCACGCGAGCTCGTCATACTAGGCCACATCGTGTCAAAACACGGCGTTCCCTGACCTGGCAAAACTTCGAGCAGTCGCAGAATTTCCCAAGCCGAGGACCATGAAAGAACTTCGCAGTTTTGTAGGCCTATGCTCGTATTTCCGGCGCTTTGTTCGCAATTTTTCATCTATCATGTCACCATTAACCCAGCTTCTTCGTGGTGACGTGAACCTCTCCTCCTGGTCTCCTGCGTGTGACGTTGCCTTCACTTCTCTACGCCGTCTGCTCACCTCCCCACCTATTCTTCGCCACTTCGACCCGACGGCTCCTACCGAAGTGCACACCGACGCCAGCGGCACCGGGCTAGGCGCTGTCCTCACTCAACGAAAGCCCGGCTATTCAGAATACGTTGTAGCCTACGCTAGCCACACTCTGACGAAAGCCGAAACTAATTACAGCGTGACAGAAAAAGAGTGCTTGGCTCTGGTGTGGGCGCTTTGAAAATTCCGGCCATACTTATACGGCCGCCCGTTCGATCTAGTAACTGATCACTACGCGCTTTGCTGGCTCTCCACTTTGAAAGATCCTTCTGGCCGCCTTGCGCGATGGGCACTCCGAATCCAGGAGTACGACATTCGCGTCGTGTACCGCTGCGGACGCAAACACTCTGACGCTGATGCCCTGTCCCGCTCACCTTTATCACCAGATCCGACGTGCGGAAACACTCGCCTCGAGACCTTGTCATCGCTGAATCTCGACTCGATTGCCACCGAACAACGTCGTGACCCGTGGATCGCATCTCTCATCGAATATCTATCTGGCACGCCCAACCTTCCAGTATCTCGATCCCTCCGACGTCAAGCTTTCCATTTCACCATCCGTGATCAACTCCTTCATCGACGCAACTACGCTCCCGATGGCCGCCGGTGGCTGCTGGTCATTCCACGCACTTTACGATCGCAAGTATGCGCCTCTATTCACGACGATCCGCAATGCGGCCACGCAGGAGTGTTCAAAACATATGAACGCCTTCACCATCGCTATTACTGGCGCGGCATGTACAATTTTGTACGCAAATTCGTGCAGTGCTGTCCTGACTGCCAGCTATGCAAACCAACACTGCCACGTGCTACTGGCGCCTTGCAGCCACTTCCATGCCCTGCCAAGCCATTTGATCGCGTCGCGTTGACCTCTACGGCCCCCTTCCATTGACATCAAATGGTAATCGGTGGATTATAGTGGCAGTTGACCACCTGACACGCTACGCCGAAACAGCCGCTGTGCCGAGCGCTACTGCTCAGGATGTCGCCTCTTTCATTTTACGTCGCATTATCATTCGACATGGTCCACATCGAGAGCTCCTTAGTGACAGAAGGCCGCGCTTTCCTCTCCGAGGTCGTCGAAACTCTGCTTTCGGAATGCCACGTCATTCATTGGAAAACGACAGCATACCACCCGCAGACTAACGGGCTAACGGAACGGTTCAACCTCACGCTGGGTGATATGCTCTCAATGTACGTGGCATCTGATCATAGCAACTGGGACCGTGTTCTCCCGTACGTCACATTCGCATATAACACCGCAGTTCAAACCACCACGGGATTCTCACCTTTCTTTCTTCTCTATGGACGCGAGCCTTCCCATACAATCGACACCCTACTACCCTACCGTCCTGATGCTTTCGAGTGCCCACCTGTCTCCGATGCTTCTCGACAAGCCGAAGAGTGCCGCCAGCTCACCCGTGCGTTCACCTCAAAAGAGCAGCAACGCCAGAAAGAACACCGTAGCACCGCCCTTTCAGATCCCAGCTATGCCCCAGGGTCTTTTGTGTGGCTCGCAATTCCACACCAAACACAGGGACTCTCCTCGAAACTTGTCCCCCGGTACGAGGGGCCTTACACCGTTTTGGAGAAAACCTCTCCAGTCAATTTCCTAATTGAGCCAGTTTCCAGATCGGACGACATGCGCCGGCACGCACGTGACATCGTCCATGTTTCCCGACTGAAACCATACCATGAGCCTCTGCCTGAAACTTCTTAGGTCGCCAGGATGGCTCCTTTTTCAGCGGGGGCGATTGTGAAGAAAAAGATGTGCCTGCAGCAAGCAGCATTGCCAACGCCCGGTTCTCTCGGCTCGTGCTTCGGCTCGCTGCTGTGCTGATCTCTGCTGGATGGTTCTTCACGCTGTCTTGCCGTTGTCGTTATCGACTAATAAACCTCGTCACACTTGCATGATGCAGTCTCTTTGCAGCTTGCAATGTGGTAGAGCATTGGAGTGCTCCAGTGCTTGGTTTTGACGCAACTTTTTGCTGCCACATAAGTGTTTGAGGTGAGCAGCTCGTAGCTATTATACATCTCTAAAGCTCATTAGACATATCCTGGGGCTTGTTCACTTCCTCTGCCTCATAACCAAGCAAACATGCAAAACTATTACAATGACAAAAACTAGAGTTCTAATTCATAGTGCTTTGTTCCTGAAAAAGTTCGAAGAGCATATGCCGACACAAGCGAATAAAAATGAAGAATGGTGTTCAGGTTCTTCTCTATTTTTCTCCTGTCGTGTCCATTCCAGAATGGAAAGCCGTGTTTTACAATGAAACCTCAAAAAATTGCATAATACTGTACTGTAAGTATGTCATCATTTGCAGACTATACATGAGAACACAAAAAGTACTGTTTGCCAGGCAAGCCAATGAAGCATCTTATTGCGTTGCATCATTACCAGAAGCGGACCAAACTAAGATGCCTGATCTGATTAGCCATTGACGTCATCACACAGATTGAACTCGATGTTTTTCCTAGAAGCGCTATTGAAACTCCCATGAGAAATGCAGGTCCAGGACAGGCAGTCACAGGGCAATGCAGCTGGTACTCTTTTTCAGTCTTCTACGTTAGTTTTGATGAAGCAGTATTGTAATTAGCCAATTATTCGGGAGTTTGATATATAGAAATTGTTGCTGAAAATCAATAAATAGTATCACAGTTATGAGACTGTGAGATATATTTTCACAGCTAAGTTACACACCTGTAACATTGTTGACTAGTGTTTGTGGAAGTCCTTCAATTTTACAAAATTAAAAGATTGCGCAGATGAATATCCTCAGTCTACATCAACAGACATAATTTTAGATCCAATGATTTATGAAAAACAAATATTCCACAAAAAAAACTGCCATCCTCGCAGAAGTTAGCTGTTAGACCTGCCTTGCATCAGTTCTTCGCTGCATCTTTGCCACAAAAGCCCCTTTATAATGTGGCATCCACACAATGTTGTTATTCTAGTATGGCGTCATATGGTATGATAAACTTTAATCAGGTCCTGAAGATCAACCTTCAAGTTTATGCTGGTGGCTTGCACGCTGGGACAGTAAGGTTTAACCTAACTGCCATATCGTGGCCATTCTGAACGACCTGCGCTTGATCTGAAAGAGCTACATTATAAAGGGCTCTTTGCCACTAGCTTCTTTCTTTGTCACAATCTGTGAAAGCCACAGGACACTGCCAAAGAATATATGGTTCAGAGTAGTGATGCCATTACACTTGCCACAATTTATTTAGACCTCTCTCTCTGGATATACCCTGGTAATAAAGTTTGGATTTGGTTAAGTTGTTGTCTGCAGCAACCGCAATTGCAGAGTTTCCACTTGAGATCTGTTAAGCTTAGCGTGCGGCACTGGAAATTCTCTTCTGTTCTTGTAGTAATGCTTTGTGAATAAGTTATATATGTAAGTGGCCATCAGGATTGTAGGAAGCCTAAGCCAAACCCATTTCACCAATGAAAGGAAGCTAATTACCCTAATACAAAAGGCACTATGTATGTGGCTGCCATTTTGAAAGATATTATGCACAGCTAATTCTGAAAATTTGAGTCAGACAACACTGGTGTTAAATATTGTGTGAACTACTAAGATAGTCGCTATCATCATCGAGGATTAGACCGGCATTCGGAATAAAGATAAGGTCGACGGGTGGGCTTCGCCATGGGCACGGCGGCTCATCCCTTTCTCAGCATTTTGGTGCCGAAACCCGGGAGGAAGGACCTTCGGAGGTGAGACGGAACCGCCTTCACGAATTTCGACTGCCGTCGTAGCCTCGAGGACTTTTCTGAAGGTGCCGTAGGCAAAGCTGATGTGCGAGGCCTAACCACCGCTGAGACCTGGGAGCCGAACTCCGGTTGCAACTGAGACCACCAGGAGCACCCGTGGACTGACATGAGTACAGGCATCGTCTGGAGGTTCGCGAGACGGGAGCCCTCACGTCTACTTCGGCTCCGTCCTGACTCGCCCTGCACGACGAGGGCCCAATGTTCACAAGTGAAAGCAGTCCATAGGTCAGCGACGTACATCTTGACAGCGCAGCCCCGTGAGTGCAGGCATCGTCTGGAGGCTCGCGAGCGGGAGCCCTCACATTTAATTCGGCTCCGTACTGACTCGCCCTTCACGACGACGGCTCGATATTCGCAAGATCACGAAGAACGACAGACCGACAATTTACGGATGTTCGTTTTGCGAACCGTCTGCGATGGATGCCGAGTTGACTCCGACTTCGCCTTGTGACACGGCCGGCCAGTGACTTCTCACGTTTCCGACACTAGATCGGATCATGGAGGCCCTCTACGAACGGCGGAATCAAACACGCAAGGCCGTCACGCAGGTGATCGCAGATATTGGACAGCTTTGGCATATAAACCACCCATCAATATGTGAGTTGAAGAAGTTTCACCGAATTTCGACTGAACAGTATGAGCTTCTCAGAGGAATCGATGAGGAGATTGCGAACACAGTTGATATCGATCATTCGGAAGCGGAAATGGAAGAAGCTGAATTTTATGAACGCCAGAACTGGTATCTGAAATTTAACAGGTATGAGTAGATATTTTTGCCCATTGTATGCGCAGTTTTCTCCAATTTGTATTTTTCTGCTCCATTTGTATTTTTCTGCTCCAGTTGTCGACAGGGCGATATGGCAGATTTTAAAGCCTACCATAGTCAGAGCTTGTAATTATAATACAGACTTAAGCATAACAACTGTTGAAACGGCCCAAGAGTAGCATGGAAAATTTTTCTCTAAAGTGCCACTTCGCGGCAACACGAATTTCACCTATAACGATGGTTTCTTTGCAATAAAAAGTATACTGCCGTGAAGCCATCTTTTCAAGCAGATTACACAAGAGCAAGAGGTGATAAGATTTGTTAGTTTTGAATATGGGAACTGCAAATGCTTACACTGCAAGCAAAGTGAACATGAATATCACATTATTCATCAAATACTTGAAAACATGCAGCATTCGCTGGAGTCTTATTCCCGAGAAACACACTACTGTGATTACATGCAGATTCGGCACCAAATGAAATGTGAATGACAGAGCGCATGGCCCAAGCATTATCAACGGTATAGCCCATGCCATTCATTCATCACCAAGGACTGGTGCACACATCCGGTTTGTGGGAACTGCCTGATCCGCTTATAATGCGATGTTTTTGCTTGCGTTCTAGTTTTGATACGGTGATGACAGGGGCCAGCGTGGGCAGGCCAATTGCTTTAGGTTGTTTCATTTTTATTTTCTTTTATTTGTGTATCCTTTGTTTTGAATTTGAAAAGCAAAAATATCGGACTGTAGGGAAATTGCATAGTGCTGCCAGACCAGATGTGCGGAGCGAGTTTGTTCATTGTGATGATTAGAGGGAGTACACAACACCTTCTGTAATGCTTACGCCATACGCTCTGCTGTTCGTCTTTCATTTGATGCCGACTGTACTTGAGATTAATGCCCCAAAGCCACAGACAACTAAATTATTTTAAAAGAAGGAACGTCAGAAGCCCTTAAAGCAAAAGTGTAAGTGTGTCCTTACACAAAACACGGTGTGAGATTTAAGTGGCACTAAAACCCACGCGACCATCAGTGATGAAGCGGCGCATGGAAAGCAAATAGCCTGTTGTGACATGCGATCTCATCATTATGTCACTGTTTGTCAAAACTTGTGCCGTCATAATGGCATCATCACATGCTGTCACGTCATCACGTAATTGTACAACATTGTCACTTCATCAAACAAGGGCCCATCTGAAGCTAGTGCAATACTATGTGAGATAATGAAAGCATCTTGGAGAAAGGGTGGTGTAATATGAAGAATGACTGGGAGGAAATTAAGGGCTGCTCTCTACAACATAAACACTTAGAGGGTGTCTGCACTCTACTGCTGCTCCTGGTAACATCTATGGTCTAGAATAGGATCATCTCTTGTGAAGAATATTAACAAAGTGTGGAAACTACTTACCAAAGCTGATAGCAGAGCTCCACTGAATAGTGCTGTGAGCATCCCGATTAAGCTGACAATGTGGCTGTTCCCCACAGACTCTCCAGTGTTTTCCGAAACTAAATAGGGCATTCCCAGGAGGTGCCGTGTTGCAGCGAGAGTGGCACGAAGTAGGCCTCTTTCATGTCCTTGTTTTGGTTGCAGCAGCCAGGATGATGACACAACATATAATAACCAGCAGAGCTAAGCAGAAAGAATAAAAATCAAAATAAATGCATGGCTTTGTCAAAACCAGCCACTCAATACAAAACTGTAAATGTGCTAAACATATAAATATTTTACTGAGCACTGCCAATACGAGTATACTTGCAGAAAACATGCATGCGATACAGGTCGACATTCCTCTATTTGTATGAAAATACAGATTAGAATGGAGCTGAACACAAATGAAAATGCTAAGTGATATCAATGTTCTAATTTTCTGACTCCAAATGGCCAGTTAAAACATTCCTCCAGAAAAATTCACAACATGCCATTCGGGAGTTGATGGCTACAAGTTTATATAACATCTGGGGTTTTATGTCACAATAATGAGGACCTTATTTGGAGGGCTCCTGAAACTTCGTCCATCTGGTTATTCTTCAAAATGCACTGACATCGCACAGTACACGGTCGTCTACCATTTTGCTTCCACTGAAATGCAAAAGCTGTAGCTGGTATTGAAGCTGAAATCACTGGGTCAGCATACCAAGCTTCATAACTGATTATCCGCTTTGGCAGACAATGGCTACAGAGTTAAACAAGAAGTTTACAGTTCAATCATGAATAGCAGTAGCCACAATCCAAGTGTCATACTTGGAACAATGATCACAAACTTGTTTGCAAACATATTTATTATACCTAGATGGTCCAAATTAGTACAGAACTAACCACTACAGCTTTTTTATAGTCTGCAGTGTACGTATTGCACTCCGCATGTTATACTAACCAACCTCTGTAGGAAAAAAAAGAAACTATAGTGTATCGACAGGACCTGACGGTTCAGATAGCTATGGAAGCGCTACTGGGCATTGTGTGATGTACTGGCCATTCCGAATGACTGATATTAAAGTGTCCTCATGTTTCTATATTTTTCATTCTCTTTCTCTAAAAATTTCAGTCTGTCTTGTTTTGAACGCCTAGTGCGAGGTGGGACTGACCTCGTTAACTTTCCTCTTCATCTTTTTTTTCTTTCTGCAAGTTACTGCAAAACACTATTTTTATGTAATTGTGTTGGAATCAGATCTGCTCATTCAAACTTCTTAATTTCAGTTAAAGACTCATGAGCGGTAGCTAATAAATTTTTACTCTCTATTTCCCTGTAGGGGTAATTGCTTGCCACCCCCTGATGGCACAACTATTAAAGATAACATTTCGTTGGCAACAGAATGCTTGCTAAACATAAAACATGTATGATATGGCCGGCATTTGACAGTCTGGCACTTTAATTTTTTAAATCCTTAGATAAATAAACCGTTTCACTATTTTCTGCAGGATTTTCTGCATGAATATTGTATTTGTTTGAAGACACGCTTTCACGCTATACCTAAGGGCAAACTTTTGAAGTTTCAGGAAGGTTTGTTTCAATCCAGCCTACTTTTTTTTGCCTGATCAATATGTTGTTATTTATTGTGAACAACTATTCAAGTGTGCGTTTTTCAAGTTGTGTGTGGCAATATACTTAAAGAACAGGTTGGGCACATGTCGATCCTGTAATGCAATGTCATTTGAATCAAACAGTGATGCAAATCATCAAATCGAAGAATTGACAGGAGACTTGAGTGATTCCTTTGGCATTGAGTGGACAAACGAGTAGTGAAACTGAGGGAAGGTTGCTTACCATAACATATACTAGTTGTTTCCGGTATGTCCTGAGCTGCAACAGCGCAGGAAACACGTGCTTACGCCTGCTTGCGTAGAGACCTCGAAGGACTCCAAGAATCGCCAAGAACAGCACAAATGCAAGTAAAATACGGCAAACCTGAAAAATGTCGCATGCAAGAAATTAAGTGTGAACTGAAAAGCCATTTTCTAAGCCTCACAGAAATACGCACAGTTTTATTCAATATGTATCTCTAAGCTAATATGTACTATAGTACTATAGATATATTTACTGAAAATCCTGAATTAAAATTTTCTTGCAATTAGAACTAGAATTGTAGATAGCTTAAACAATGACAGGCATTGAAATGTTGATAATCAGAGTGTCCATGAGTTTTTAGGGGCGAAGCTTCTTAAGCCGTGAGTTTGTCCCTTTAAGCTCGTCGTGATTCATGGCCGCCTAATTTGATGACTCACTCAGCAGGTGCGGAAGGGTGGACAGACAGACAGACAGAGGAACAGACGTCGGATGGACGAATGGAGAGACAGACAGACATAAAAACAGTCCACAGTCTATGAATAGAACCCTCTGACGCTTTGGCCCACTCATCATCATTCACTCCGTGGATATGCTGCAATTTTTTTTATATTACTCGTAAAAAGGCATCTGCCTTGGTGTTTTGTCTACGTCAGCAAATTCCATGTACTGTGACTCCAATATGTGGAACCACTTCACATAGATTGTGTGTATGTTGTTAATGCTGCAGCGCCACATTTTCAAGTTGACAAAAGCATTACTTGTATTGGGATACATGAGACAGCCATATATAAAGAGCCAAATTCAAACAATGTGGTATCGTTTATTTATCACTGCTCTGTGTGGTCATTATAAGTGTTGCCCGTTTGGCCTCCTGGACACGAGGTCAATTAATAAGAAGTCCCATTCTCCTTGTGATTCTTTCAGCTAGTGTATGTCTAATTACTAATAAGTAGCTCTGTTGACCACCCCCAGCAATTCTACACCCACATTGTGATACTAGGAATTCTTTCCCAATGAAAATGTATCTCTCAGGTAGTTGATGAGAAAGCTGATGCATGGCTGATACAGTTGGCTGGCTCACACTGTCCGTCACGGAGAGCGCTTCAATTGATGCAGACAAGTCCTCATCGCTGCCCAGGTGAGACAAGACGTAGCATCGCTGATTTGCCCGGAAGAATTGGCTAATGCAGTAGCATGTCCCACACAAAAAGAAGATCATCTGAAAATGATGTCGACGGGCAATGATGAATGCTCACCAGAAAACAATGTTCCCATAAGGACAACTAAAAAAATGCAATAAGGTTCTAGATTAAGTTCAATGTATTCACCTACACATTCTACAATGCTGCACAAAGCTTCTTTGTACAAAATACAGAGCATGTGGTATACAAATTTCTTAGATATATAGAAAATAGTAATAGCTAAGTTTTTCACTGCACTTTACTGTCTTGTTGTAGCTTACTGCCCATATAAAAATTTGAAACTGAAATGTTATGCTTTATATTGTAGCAATTGAGGCTCTTGCGGTGGCAAAATGGTGTTTGGAATTGTGACGTAGATATCAGTTATTTGCTGAATGTTGCTGAAAATTGACATTATCATACAATTATTGTGATTCATGAACACTTAGTTCATTCTAACATAGTGGTAAAATCTACTAGATGGTTACTATAGCTGCTTTCAAGACAGCTTCTCTAGTCTTTTTTCTTCTCATAGGTTTACATACAACAGTGCATAGATATAGAAGCTGCAAAGGCTTTTTTGTTTTTACCTACCTCATGCACATTCCAGAATCTCAAAAGCAGCCGCCATTTCATCTTCACACTCCTCCAGCACATAGACTTCAACTTGCAGCCAAGGATTGCAATAAGGCAAACCTAGAGCAAAACAAAAATATTATCAGAAAATTTTCACACTCTCAATAAAAAACGAAAGGAAGAGAGTAGGACAGGAATATTGATAAGTTGTAATATCAATAGCAATAGCAATGTATTGAACAACTACACAAAGCAGAGTTTTTAGATTTCTGCTGTGTTCTTTTGAGTTGAAATTTGCTTAAGAAAAAGATTAACATATTTTCTCATGGATGTATAAGTAAAGTAAACATAAACACATTTCATGTGATTACTGTGGTTGTGCTGTTACATTACCGGTTTGACAAACAACACAAACACAAGTGGAAAAACACTTAGAGCTTTCTTCAGCTCAGCACATTCTCCAAACAGTTTTAGATAAAGTGACTTCCAAGCCTAAGTGAGTGATAAAGTGGCATGCATCAAACCCATCAGTCAGATCAGCTTCCTCAGTCTCTACAGCTGCTACAAATTACTGCAAAGTTAGAGCACGCAGACGCCTATGCACTATGTTTCTACAACTATCACCACACCCAGCCGGAAGTGTGCTTTTCTGTACGTTACTCTCCACCCTTCCATAATGCATGTTCAACAAGTCCCCTTCAGGGAGGACACATACTGTAGAAAATTTGAAAGCTGGGCGATTTCGTGGGAGAGATGTAAACATTCACGACAGTAGTTCTGAAATGCAGTGCAACCACGATAGGGACAGAGAGAAAAGGTGAGAAACCACAGCAATGACTCACAAATGAATTTTTACTGAATGTGCCTTCAATAAGCGTTCAGGAGCAAGTGAACACTGTGGTTTGTTCTTTTTTCTCTTGGTCTGTGTTCTGATTGTGCTGTCTTCAAACATGTTCAAGCAGAATACACCATCCGCATTCGAGGGATGCATAAAAACTCATGAACACAAAGCCAGCATCCTTCACTTATTTATTCATTTTCGCAACCCCGCAGATCTTATACCGCTTGAACTTTAAAGGGAACCAAATGACGACGGAGTTATTTTTTCTCCAGAATTGCTCCTGTAATTGTTATATCAAAAATGAATTACCAGCAAATAGAAAAATAAACCAAGAAGCCAGTTGTAAGGCCTTTGTGTTCATGTATTTTAATGAACTATATTAATAGAGTCTTACTGTAAGGAAGCTTTTCATTAATTTAATCAACATTTGTACAACTCTTGCACATAAGGTCTGTTCGATTCACGTGCACCGATCGGAACTGATTCACGGCTGTGCACACGAAGTTCAAAAATTGTGCATTGTGAGTTCAATGGTGCAGGCACAGTGCGACACCCGAAACAAATGACTATGTGCTGATAAAGTGCTGCCCTTATTTCTGTTCGCTTAATTAACATCGTTCAACTAACACTGACCGATGGCAAACCGCACATGCGGACAATTTACGAGGTGCAAACATCTTGGCAAAACACAACGCGTTAATAAGGCGGGTACGGCACCTACGCCTAAGCGCTGCGTTGTCTGCTCAGCTGCACGCGCGGCACCACCATGCTGGCACTATCAGCATAGGAGGTGCAGAAAAAATGTGAACCAGTGCAGCACCTCTTCTGCCTCTTTTGAAACGAATGGCAGGGTTCAGAGGTCGTCAATGCCACACTGCTGAAATGAGTGGCAAGGTGCAACACCTTGCGAACTGGTTCACGTGGTGCAGGTGAATCGAACGGACCTATAATTACAATGAGGAAAGCGAATGGTCAGCCTTATTCATTAGCTGTCACATAACACTGCAGGCTTATCTTCACACCATTGGGCTCTTCTAGTGTCAGGCGTCACTATAGCTACATACTACTGTTTAAATTTAAGGGCTTTTTTTCTTGATAGAAAATGAGCCCTTTAACTTAAGACTTCTTTTCTTAACTCATTGTGAAGGTCTCATTCTGGCAGACTTGGTGCCTTCACGTAGTGTACGAGAGATAATTGGTCAACTGCCAGCTCATAATAAGATCACGTGCCGCGTGATGCCAACAGGCAAAAAAAAAAAGTGTTTCACACTTGCCATAATGGCTACAAGTGGTGCTGATTTGACACTCCCTCATTTAAATGCACTTATTGTGGGAGCATTTAAATGCACATACTCTATAAAGTGAACGGTGGGACGATCGCCGCAGTAGCTCAGTGGTAGAGCATTGGGCGCATCATTCGAAGGTCACAAGTTTGCTTCCTGCTGGCCGCAAGTCACCTTTTCTCTCACTCTTCTTTCTTCTCATATACATTACGATTACTTCTCTTATACTTTCCTTGGCACTATTTTCTAATAATTGCCATCCATAAGTACATGATGTAGCTTGAAGTATGCAGTTATAACACCCGACTGCTTCATTCTCAAAAAAAACTTGAGGATAGATAAGTAGCACATCCTGTGACAGTTTATACTGCGTCTGCTTTTTTTCTTGCCCTGATGATAAGATACTGAGAAATGTTTGGAGCTGGCTTTTCTACAAGGCAGAAGCTTAGGGAAAGGGGAAAATTAAAGAGATGAAAAGTTTTTGAGCAGAAGTTGTTGCTGGAGTCAACGTTCTGACAATGGGACAACAAGTTGACAAAGATGAGTCGACCATATGAATTGCTGGCTCCAAGAGCATTGTTCTTTCAAGGATTTTGCAGGTGACTTACACGTAATTTACAACAGCTCAAAAGCAGTCAGCCAAACTGATGATTGAAATGGTGATTACTTGGCAGTCTTTGCTCTCGTACCATAATTATGACAAGCAACATTCCATCCAAAAATATGTGCCAAAGTGAAATTAGTTAATTAGATTTGTTGAATTCATAAGCTGCCATAATTTGGGCAATGGTGCATTGTGAGAAAGCCAGCTCAATGCTTCTTCAAAATAATGCACTTCCATAGAAAATGAATATAGAAATTTATCAAACTACAGTTTACAGAAAAATGCATAGTAGGATCATCAGATTTCATTTTATATTGAACCATGCTTTAACGGCAATACACCTGAAGAGATCGGAGCAGTCCGTCTCAATGCTGTTGTTTATTCCAGCAAGAGAACTCAAGGTCCTCGATCCATGCATCATCCATCTTTTTCATTCTTTCTTGCATGTGCTATCTTAGCTGTTATTAACGTGCACCCTTAATCTGCACCTTTTTTTTGCTTAGTTCAGTGTATAACATCACACATTCTAGTTTATGCTACTTACACTACATTTCGGAAGGATATGTTCAAGTAAAAATCGCACCTCTAAAAATCCTGCCGTCAGCACCGAGTCCGAGCAAGAGAGGAGGTGCGCAGAAACAGAGACGTATAAATTGGTCCGATTACAGGCACACGTCGAAGCTACAGCCACAGAGCTTAAAAAGAAGACAGCAAACAAATGTAGTCAGTGGTGATGTATCGAATCTAGCTGTTATTGGTTCCTCCCATACTGTACATTGAAACAACAGAGAACAAATCTAAGCGGCGAAATCCCAGTAGCGTTTGGGCAGCCAAGAAAACATAATATTTAAACCGTGAAAAATTTCTCTCATTCTATTTACTATCACACCCACTTCCATACGTACTCAAGCACAATTATTTTGAAAGCTTTAGCATTCATCTTCGCCTGGTCTCATCTCATCATGACTGCTTTCTGCTCAACATCATTGCTGCAGTGGTTCTTATATGGGAGTGCGTTGACCCCACAGGGGTCGTAAAGTCATCTGCGGGGATCTGCAAAACTCATCCTGAAAACTAAAAAAAAGCTAACTTTTTTGCAGGCACAATGTGTCTCATGCAAGTGGACATTTCTTGTCTTTTTTTGTCTCATCTATGCATTGTGGCAGAGCTTATGCATTCTGGTGGAGCTGAGGAGAGTAAATACAGTTATAAACTGGTTGGATGGAGCTGAGATCGCACTTATTGACAAGCTGCTGAGGTCAAACTGGCCTGGCACTTTAGTTTCACCATTATTTTTCTGGGAGAAATAAATGCTTGTTGTGTTAACTAATGATGCTTAGTAACGTAGAATTTGGGGCGTGTTGGTATGCTTGGTATGTCATACTGAAGTTTTAGTGTTCAAAAAAAAACATGGACCAAAAAATATGTGACACACATGCAATACTAGCTTGCAACAACATTTATTAACAAAAATTGTTGCAAATTAGCCCCTGTGCGTGAGTCAGGTCTTCCTCTGTTCATATTTTCTCGTGTGCTTCAAACTTCAGTTTAACTCATGACACCCATATTTTAGGGGCGAAGCTCCTAAAAGCGTGGGTATGTCCATCTCTTATATGTTTGTACGTGACCAATATCACACTATGCCCCATCACCGACCCACCACTTCAATGACCATAAAGCAAATACCGTTGAGAATAGCCAATATGAAATGTAAGATGGTCGTGTACTTGTATCTAGGTGTGTGTTAAGGAACCATAGATTGTCCCACTACGTCCATTCCTTGTTTGTACATGACCGCCTCTAGTTCCACATTTGCAAACTGCCCACTACTTCGTCCTCGGAAACATCACACTATGCCCCATCACCTATCCACCACTTTACCGACCAAAAAGCTACTATAATGAAGGGAAACGTAAGCGACGTATACATACCACTTATCAATAATAACATTTCTTGTGTAAATATATACAGTGTTTGTCACATCTTTGATGATATAGTGGGTAATGTTCACGGATGATTTACGGTTTAGGGATGAAACCCTCCAGCATATCGCCCCACTCATCATCATTTACTGCGTGGATATGATGCGATTTTTTTTACTCTTACTGTAGGGCGTCCCTCATCACTTCCACTAATTTACAAGGGTTTCCCACAACATTCATGGCTGTGAACCACTGAGCTAGTGTTACAACACACTGCCAATTAGTCTCCCTATTGAAAATTATCCATTACTGTGGGCCCACCTGAGTATATTGAGGGCATGATTGAAGAGCTGAAATTCAAGTGTGGGATTCCGCTTGTCCATGCCATCTAAATGTTTATGACAACTGAAAGGAGAAAAAAAAAAATGATTGGTGATCATTTTGTTCATTCAGGTAACAACATCAAAAACAAGCTCACTGGTATTGTGAATTAACATTGCGTGCCTTTACTAAAGATGAGTGCTGTCTAAATAGCAGGATTGACAACTAGGCAGTACTGTTTAAACGAAAGACCCGTCTGTGTAAAAAAATTGTTGAAACATCGACTGGATGATGCTTTTATTGCTCAGGTGATTCCTTCAAGCCTCAATTTTTCAGTTAACTGTCTAGTTTTTTCTTGCGGGTTATCAATAGTCACACCTATAGAACCAAGAATAATTTCATCTATGCAATCATTACTTCAGAAGCAAGAGACATATAAGCAATGCTTCACAATTAAAGCACACTTTCTGCTAATTTGTTAGCAATTAACAAAATTAATAAGAAAGTAGTTTTAGCTAAAAAAGCTACATGAGGCAGCAGGTGCGTAGCCAGAAATTTTTTCGGAGAGGGCACCTTGATTTCGGGAAAGGCACCCCCATGAAATGGCCATTTTTTGCTCTCTATGCCATGGCAAAAAAAAATTTCAGGAGGGACGCGTGCACGATGTGCCACCCTCTAGCTATGCCCCTGTGAAACAGTGCAAAATTTTCAAACTTCACTTCCCCATTAAGTGCAGTAATTGTTCTCAAATGATTGATGTGCAGTAGCAAGCAATACAAATAATATTACCACTTATAAACTGTTACGTTGAAATCCATTACCAAATTTTAAAATGACCTAGCTTGTAAAATGCACACGCAGTGCATGTAGCATTTTGAAGTGAGCCTAGGATTGAAGAAGCAATTCATCAAAGAGCAAAGAATTTTTATGGGGTTTATTTTTGTATCAATACAACAATGCTTCTAGAGTAACAATCATTGACTGGATAATAATGAGAACCAACATATATTGTGAATGCTCATTAATACTGTGTCCAACAAAGAAAAACAGGCTTTTGACATTTCCAATTCTTTCTTTCAGTTATTTAGTGGGTTTTATTTTGTTATTTGGAGAAGTTACTGCAATAATGAAGAAAATCTTTGAGTTATATTTTTAAAGTGACAGAGTGAAAGAGCTCATTTCACAGAAATTCCAGCACCGGTGTTGTCTCTTGTGAGCGAAAAGTCATCATCTCAACCGGGACCGAAAAATCTAAAAATATGGAAGGTAAACAAATAATACAAATTTCAAGTCCGAGTGAGGATCGAACCCGGGCTGTCTGCATGGCACGCGGGTGTTCTTTCGCAAAGTCCGGAGGTTTTTTTCAAATCCACTTTAGATAAAGACACAACGTCGTATAGTCGAACAAGTTTCTTCAAACCATCATATATTGCGTGGCAGAAGCGTGGAATCACACTAAGCACCGAAAGATGTGACTTGAACAACAAGTGGGAGTTTGAAAGGCCCATTCATTACAAAGTTCTCAGCCATATTTAACTATCAGCAGCAGAAAAACTATCAACAAAATTAACTGTGTAGGTTCGTGTGTCACCCTAAGTACGCATAGTGGGCCTTTCGCTGATTTGCAAAAGAAATAATTACGGCGTAGTTTGCACTTAACAGTGCTTGCACTAGGCACTCAGTGATGTTTTGAAACGGCCATTGTTACACCCACAGAGTCGTTTGTTGCCTTATGGCACGATGCGCCGAGAACGAAAATAAGCTAGAAGTCTAGAAAGCAATGCACATGCTGCCAGACTAAGTTATTGCAGTCTAGACTTGAACACAAAAGCATCCTCCACTTTTTCTTTGCTCTGTTGTTGCTGATGAAACTACTAATAATAAATTATCAAACTCATACTGTATAGCTAATAACAATCTTCCTGTAAAGGCTTAAGAAGTGATGTGTTCCAGGAAAACATTTTCATATTGGCTTTTTAAGTATCTTGCACTTTGCTGGTGGGATGAATTATGAAATAATTCTGTGGAAATTCTCAAAAAGGTGTATTTCTTGTACTCGCAAGATGATGAGTTGTGTAATTTTTACATGTAGTCAAATGACAGCTTTGCCCTTTATTTTCTTTTTTTAATGCTTTTATAATAATACTGAACTCATCAATGTAAAATACTGCACAATTGAACAACATGAGCCCTCTCCAGCTGATTATCATGCAGTTCAGAGCTTCGCGCATAGCAGTATGTTACCTTTTGAACAAAGCAGGGCGGACTGCCCGTGCGAGACGCGGGCACCAAGAATAGTTTGGGGCAGACCTCATGTCTTTGCCTTGAGTGCAGACTCTAGAGGACTGTAGAAGAACTGATCCGGTAGCGAGAAGCAGGTGATGAGAGTCATTGTCACACAGTGTTGTTAGAAGTGGTCTTTCTGGCAGGCTATGTGGTTTGCATTCGACTCCATTCATGCTGCAGCAAGTAAGTAGGCACATGCATCTCTTGGAACATTGGTCAAAGTGGTGCCATTGAAAAAACAATAGGGCTGATGGGAATAACATTGTGAATATGCCAAAACATCAAAATTTCAGCAGTGGGCAAAAATCTGAACCCTCCCCTTCTCCTCCCCCCCCCCCACACACACACCTCTGCTTACACAAATGACTTGTGTCATAAAATACTGACTTCAAAATTTATGAAGTTAACGCCAAAGAAACATGTCTATGGGACTGCTTCACAGTGGCATCCTAGGGCATTGCCAAGACAATATAGACGGAGCATTAGCTGAATACTCAATGCATACTTTCTCTTCGGTGTGAATGTGCTGACCAAACTATGATATAGAGGTATTGCTGACGAGCAAGTAAGAGAAAAGACACCTTTAAGATGGATTTGTTTTTACTGAGATTACACAATTCATAATATAAATCAATGACTACATGTGATAGAAAAACTGAGATATGCAAGGAGCTTTTTCAATGCGAAGATTGAAGTTGCAGCCATTTCACGATAACAATGCTTATATCATTCAAACTGTGTTCTCTAATTTTCATCTAGTGTTACATTGCAAGAGTTGCTTTAACAGTCATGAGCTGGCATGAGCAAAGTGGACATTTCAACGTGAGATTTACAGTGGACTGTAATGATGATAGTGACCTTCAAAATTGATAGTGGCACTTCAATAGCAGCATGCAAAGAGGGTGCACGTGACAAGGCCCACCCAGGCATGAACACTGGTGAGTTCCATTCGGTTTTTCGAAAACATTTCAGTTGTCATTTTGTTTATTGAATGACTATTTTGCCGCAATCAAAAATGCTGCACCGATGCATGTGTTCATCAATGAGCATGAACCATGACCTCGCAGAGCTGGCATGAAGCTGTCCAAGTCCGACCGAGTGCACAAAAATGTATATTCTCGGCTCGACACAGTATCTATTAGTTGCACCTTACTTCTAGGCACAATGAACAGATGGCGCACAGCCCTCGGCTTAATGGCGATTCTGCCGGTCTTATTAATGAATGCACATGTGATGCATCAGCCTGTTGTTGATCTAGTAAGTGGTCTAATCAAGAGTGGCTGGGGCAGTGACGGCGTGAACTTGTTGCCACCAGCCTTTTCGTTGCAGCATGTTTATGTTGCAATGAAATTGCATGATTAGTTCATTGTGTAGCTTATGACTGTCGACTAAGTTTAGGCATCATGTCTCAAGATGACGAAATCAGTGTGCGTAATTTCTGGCAAAGATTAGAAGCGTGAGTGGTAAAATTGTGGTGCTCCTATGCCCGTCCTATAGTATATTACGAGTCACACAGGCTATCTCATCTGCTCAAATTTGATCGTGTAAGCCACATATACTGCAGAAAGAGTTTGTTTCCTGACTTTCTAAAACACTGTCCGCACTGATCATAAGAGCGGCTCAATGCTGTGCTTGCAAGATATTTATAGTATCCAACTATTGTCCTCACAAAAGCATTTTCATTTTGTTTTAGGATCGGTAGAAGTACACTCTGATTATTCTGACGAATTAATACTATTGAGTGCCTCGCCCCCCTTATTATTTGATGGATTTTATTGTTGGTTTTGATGGGCGGGGCATCAGAATAAGTAAATTTCAGAAGCTGCTTGTTTTTGTGCTTGCTTAAGCGGGTGGCGCAGCCACGTACCTTGTGTGGGCATCGTCTGCATCGCCACTAGCGCGCTTCTAAACTGTTAATACACAACCGTGCTCTAACGTTATCTTCACAGAAAAGTAAAATGTAAAACACAGTAATTCAGCATACAACCTATTCTGGTGGGTAGCGTAGTCGGTATGCAAAATGTCCCAGAAATGTCCTGATCGGTAACCCACTCGGTACGCAAACTGTCCCAGAAATGTTTGAATGGGTAGCACAGTTTGCACGCAAAATGTCCTGGTGGACCAATTTGAGTATGTTTCAACCCCCTATAAATCCTGAAATAGTGCCAGAAATGCTCTGGTGAACAATTTGTGGATTTTAAGAAAATGTACTGAGGCTGTACAATAGGATCTTTCTTGGACTCCATCCGCACTAGTTGAGCAAGTTCCCAGGACGTTCAAACGTCCTCACGAAAACGTTTTAAAAATGTACTGAATATGTGTTTCTGTTGTCTGGGCGGTACCTACTGCCCAGACAACACTCGATGTCCTGAGGTGGTCCTCATATGGTACAATCATTCTCGCACAGTTCTCATTGACCTTGGTACTACTGAGGACGACACAAGCTGGTTTGACCTGGAAACGTATTTTCAAGTGCTTACTGAGGATAACAATTTATTCTGAAAAAGTAATTTGAAAGACGTTATGGAGAGGGCAAAGGCAATGCACTAGCGCCGGTTCAAACGTCTTTTCGAGTGTTTTCTGAGGACAACAATTGGTCCGAAAAAGGTCTTGTCAAGGACCTTTTGAGGATGACAAAAGCGTTGCGCTGAGCACTTACATATGATTCCTTAAGACCTTTATGCACCAAGTAGATGCATTTCATAGGTGAAAACTTTCTCCACACATTCTTTTCATATGCAGTCATAAAGTTATTGTATATTTTTTCCTCGTTTGTTTTTTTTAGTCAGCAAGTTTTCAAATTATGTGCTCTGCCTAATGAGACACATGTAATTAATTGGCTAAGGTATCAAACCTAGTACTGTGAAATGTTCATTTGAAGGAGTGTGTTTTTAAATCTCACAGCCCTAAATTAGTCATTAGACGCTGCCGTAGCATGTATTAACAAACTAGCAGCTGGCAACCATTGACCATGCAGCACCATTCTGGATAGTCAAGTAGCCAAGCCATTCCAAGCCAACTGACTGTCAAAATAGGGTCTGTCAGGGAAAGGGCAGTGTACTAAAGGTTCGTGTGCATGGTTAAAAGCGAGATATGTGTGAGAGTATAAGTCCTAGGTGACAACGGAAGGTAAATTTTCGTGGTTGTGGGTGCACCGGGCTGCTCAACGTTCAGACTGATCATAGATGTATTGTCACCAGCCGACCGTGGTGAAGGGTGGTTCGAAGCAGCCTGGAACACCAGCAAATCACCATGAATTGTTCCAACGTGATGGGATCGACTTCTGCATCAGACACATGGCCCAACCTCGGGCAAGTCAACTTAAGGCCCGTGTTGACTGTACTGGTAGGCTGTCAGAGCGGAGCCTCTAACACTAGTGAGTGTATTGGGCACGATTAACGTGGTGATGACACAGTGTCAAACTTTCAAGGAGCATTACAAACATGGTTGATTAAGCTTTCTTGACTACCTTGATATTGCTTTTCTTTTTTAGACCATATGCGTAGTCTAATTCCTGACATGGCAGACAGTTAATTGTGACTAATTACTGTTAAATAAATAAATTTGAGTCAATAGCCTTTGTTTGCTTTACTTTGATAGTTGAGCACTGTCACCTCTCTGTTGCTTGATACAGTATACATACACGAGGCCTGACATGTGTTTCCCTTTCGTTGTATGTAAATACCATAAAAAGAAATGAATCTCAAGTGGTATCACAGACTACAGCACCAAACCGGCCATGCAATTGTTTAGAAAAGATACTGAAAAGTACTGAGGCGTTGTTTTAAGGATGTGCTGAGGCTTTTATGTGTATGGACGGACAAAAGGACTGGATTAGTGCCATTCTAGTATCATAAGAGAACATTCTGAGGGCGTCATATGGTGCTCATGGAGGTATACTGAGGATGTCCTGAGGTTGTAATTGTGTTGTCTGGGCTGTGCACCTTTTTTAGATGTGTGCGCTAAAGAGATTGGTTTTTCTCCCATGCTTGTCAGTGTACATGTATTGTGATTACTAGAACAACATTGCTATATACACGTGCGAGTTGTGTTTGTTGCAAATAACTTCCTTTATTAAAACCGCAAAAAACCAATTGCTGCCGCCTAAGAAGTCATTGCATTGGTAGGCGGAAAGGCATTGAACACTGGAATGTTGTAAAACTATGTACAGACTTTCACAAGCTCTGCTGTGGACTGAGTTATGTGCTTCTTAGGCTTTGATATGTAAGTTGGCAATAAAGGTTCGATAGTTCTAGGAGGCATGCTTGGACCTCATTTTTATAAGAATTCATTTGCAACAGAAAAGCTCCTAGTGGAAAATAGACAGGCCTTCGAGTTGACTGAGTGTGCAAATTTGTTACCTTTGTACATCTGATGTACAAAGGTGTGTTGGACGTACAATGTACATTTGGGGACATCTGATAGATGTCCGGAATATCCGAAATGTATGTCTCATCGTATGCCTACTAGATGTTACATAGGTAAGGTTCTTGTCCCAAAGCACACAGCATTGGCACTGACCACAGCGAAAAAATTCTCAGCACACCAGGGCCTTCCTAAAACATCATGCTTGACTGAAGTTCTTATTTAAGAAACTAATTAGGCAATTTGCCCTACAACTGAATTCCAGGGGGAGCATGCACAGCACATCAGTGAAAACAGTAACAAAACCACCGCACATTCTGAAAATGGGAGAGAGTGGCAAAAAAGGTTTTTGAATTTGAAAAGATCTTATCAAGTTAATTATTTTTGCCACTATCCAGCAAGACACACACAACAATCACCAAGCAAGCAGCATATTGAAAAACCCCCTTTGCAGTGTACCTAGGGATCGTCCCTATCCCACCAAACATTCTGTGGTTGCTATCTATTACCAGTATAAAGGATACCACTACTGATAAGGTACTGATGTACTTACCTATGGATGAGCTGCACAATACTCTGATGCTGATGGTACAAATCTTCCACACCCTCACTTTTGCTGTTTGCCAGCAGTACCATTATCAATAATGCAGAGGAGATGAAGTATCTGTAAATTAAACAATAAGCATGAATGAACATTCTTAAAAAATATACCAGTTGTGACTGTATGTGTGATAACGCAGCCTTTAGGAAACAAATATATCAGATACTTCATACGGATTAGTTTATGTGTAACAATAAAAAGTACTTTACATTCAGCTGTATAGCATTTATATGAATGACAAAAACTCTCATGCACAGTGGTACAGTTTTTTACTCCAGATATCTTGCACAAATTTCATTACTCATAATTTTCATAAGACAGTAGTTGTAATTTGCATATTCTGGCATACATGGCATCAGAATCAAAAGTTGGGCTACTTGGATATGCATGGTATAACTGTCGTTCAAGCGCTCAAATCAACAAGAAGGAAGAGAGGGCAAGCACTTGTCCTCTTTTCATTTCTGTTTATTCGTGCGCTTGAATGACAGTTATACCATACATAGCATGGCAGCCACAAGGATGTTTGATATTTTGGCGGTATACTTTACTTAAATAAATTATCACTGTCTTGAATTTCTCTCTTTTTTACAGATGGGCCATGTCATCTCCAATTTTATGCTGTCGTACTTTATTGCGATAGCAAATATGTGGATGCTTAGGACACATTTGAGAAATTGCCATCTTCACAATTTTCTGTAGATGGTGCACATACAGTTTAATGCAGAGGGTTGTAGAATATCATTAGGGTGCATTTGACTGTAAAAAGAATGAAGCATCTGGTGGTTGAGTAACTTTGGTAGGAGAGCAATGCCAGCAGCGATACCAGCACCAGCACAAAGCACTTTGCTCTGTGCTGCTGGCATGAATTCTGCGTGCACACTGACATTTCACACCAGCAGAGACAAGGATGGCGTGACACATAGATCCATCCTTCACTAGCATGGCCAACAGCCTAACACGTGCACCCGAACTTGGGCACAATGGTTGGTACAGTGTACAGGTGCGAGCAAATATAATGACAGCTATCCTACTGTGCTGGCTTGTCACCAGCCATACTGCTTATGACTACGAGGCAAGCCTGTAGCTGGGGTAGGGGGGCTTTAACCCATTGAACCACTGATATCCTGTCAGCATGAAAATAAGATCCCTACGTCTATGTCTATCAATAACATCTAATAAACATCCCAATAATGTGCCATCCTTACAGTGTTGAGAGCCTACATATTATTAATGTCGTATGCACTTCTCTCTTAGACAAAACCTAGACGTCGCAAATGATGTCGCATATACGTGCTCTCAACATCAAATGTATGGCAAAACTTTGTCTTCCAAAACCGCTTCAGTTTACATTTAGATTGATAAATATATACGAATATATTTTAGCTGCTAATGAATAGTCTAGATGTATATTTGATGATGATGGTAAATAAATATTTTCTTGCAAAACCTATGCTTAACTTATGCAGGTTAAAAAAATGATTTTGCTATGTGTTTGAAGCAGGCAAATCTTTCATAAGCATGCCACACTGACATTATGCCATGGGCCAATCACCTCTCTGTTGTTGCACACGCTCTCCTTCTAGTGCAGATGTATGGATGCTGTGAGTGTACATTTTATAACATTCATGGCATTTATAGCACATTGAACATCTATATTGTCACATTCTGGCTTCGACGTGGCAACTGCGGGCGCTGTTTGAAGCTCTAGCTCCCACAGCATTGCACAGGAGTTTTATGACCAGCAGAAGAGTACTGAAGGACTCTGATACCTTGAATACCTCTTTTCCTCTGTGCTGCAGTTGCTATATATCTCCTCCAGATGCCGGTGAAGATAAAAAAATGCTTATGTACTGTTTACAAATGTGTGAAAAGATCTTCTTACTGCTGCAGTCTAGACTTCATGTGGAGAACTGAGACAACGGCACATTATTTTTCAAAGCATCGCTACAATTTCTAAAGCAAGAAAAGAAAGGTGTAGCAGCTGCCTCAGTTTTCAATAGATACCTGACCTGAACAATGTTTATGCTGTTTAAGATAGGAAGTAATACGACAATGAAGTTGGAAGTTGTAAGTGACCATAGAAGGTGCTGCAAAGAAACTGAAATAAGAAAAAATGAGCGACTCTATTCATACATCTATAAATGCTCTAAAAAAGGGGCAGCTATGCCATACTAGTGTGAAGACTGAAAACAGTGAAGCTGGTGGCCTTTTCCTCCTCCTCACTCTCACATGAATACTTGCCTTCAATCCCCTTTCCCACTCTTTCCTTCACTTCCTTTCTTCTTACTCCTCACTTCTTTTTCCCACCTTCTTGTTTTACTAGCCTATGTACATAGCTATATGATCCGCTTTTTTTTCTATCCCATTGTTTGGTTGTTTGTTTGTCTCTCCTTCTTTCTCCCCAAATTTATTCGCCCTTGTGTTTTTCTTTCACTTGCTCTCTCTTTTTCTTAGTCCTTTAGGGGCAAAGCTCCTTAAGGCGAGGGTCTGTCCATCACTTGTATGTATGTATCTAGTAGTAGTAGTACATAGCCACCAGTGGCACATACCCGCTTTAGAGCAGGTATGTGCCACGTGGGATGCGAGATGGGAGATGGCAGTACTTGGAGTGTTCACTAGATGGACACTTGGACGGATGCATGAATGAAAAAACAGACAGACTAGCAGACAAACGGACAAATGGATCGACGCGTGATCGTACGGACAAATGGACCCACAAATGGACGGACAGATGGATGAACGGACTCACAGACAAATGCACGACAGACGGACGGACGCATGGATTGACGCACGGATGGTCGCGTGGACGGACGGAAGCAAAAACGAATGGTTGGACAGAAGCACGGACTGGGCTGACGGACGCTTCACCCCACTCGCAATCATTCACTTCCATCGATACGCTGTGAATTTTTTTTCATTCTTTGCCCCTATAACTCCCATGAATACTTGGACTTCTGGTGTGCCTGCCAAGCCGAATGGTTACAAAAGTTAGCTCTACACTGAGGGTACACTAGTTCATCATCTAATTTCGCAGAGAAATTTTATTTTGTTCAATTTATTTCTTCTCTCCACTTTTATCCTCCTTCCTTCCTATCTAAAAGGTCTTGCTAAGTGATGCAATTGGCAAAGCCAGGCATAGCTGTGCCGAATGGTTGCTAGGCAACGAATGTTTCTTGGAATGATCTAGTGCTGAACCTCAAGTTTTAACCCCTTAACTGCTCTTTTTTTTTAATTTCTAGTCAAAATGTGCCCATTTTTTTTATTACCAATGTCGAATCTGATTGTACTGAAAAGTAGCTGGTCCATGTTTAAAAAACATTTTCCCACATAGTTGCTCAAATCAATGGAATAATGTTTCTTTTTGAACAATACTAAGGAAATAAACCAGCTACCTACTGCTGAGAAAATTTAAAAACCTTATAAAACAAACAGTTACAGATACCACATCTTTCTTCACTCCTGTAGGCTAAGCACCTTTGGGGTATTTAACTCGGGAAGCTTCGGGGCTGCATGGAAAATTAAAAAAACACGGAATTATGCAAGGCGGCTCCACTGGCGGGCACTTGCAATGTTCACGTCCAAGCTGTCTTCACCATTACGAAAGCAGCTACTCAATTCATTGTCAACGCTGTCTTCACTTCTGGGCACACAATATAAACCTTACTCAAATTGTTTCCACTTTGAGAATATCACTAAAGCGAATATAGCGTTTTTTTTTTTTCCTGTTCACGGGCCAGCTATACATGTGTCATGGCCACCGCACACCGTCTTTCCCTACTAAAACCTCGCTCCTGCCGCAGGAACAAAATAAATCTTTAAGAAAATGCTCCCATCTGGTGGATGACACACAATGTAAGCTGTAAATGCACGCTTCTCTGCCTGAACACTAGAAGGGAGTATCGATTCCGCTACGACGAGCTCTACTCGTTCAAAGCAGTTTAGTGACAGTTTGGGGAGGAGGAGCAGACGTTAAAGGGTTAAATAGCTCTGCCGTTATTATACAGATCATCATAATGACACTGAGCTCTTCAGAGCACAGCTCTTAGGCACCCGCTTCTGCGTTGAGCATTGTCAGAGTAAGCGATAGAGCGAAAAGAACGAAAGAGAGAAAATGCGGAGGGTGAAAGGCAGCAATATAGTGAGGAGAGTGCGAGGAGAAAGGAATAACTGTGGCTAGATGACAGGTTCTGAAGTGGCCAGCTGTGGTGCCCAGTAGTAAGTGCCGCCAGGTGTTCGCCTATGCCCTGGCAAAAATGCCAATAAAGAAATCTGTTTGTTCTAAGAGAAATGTCATTGAGCCGATAAGAGCTGTATTGGGACTTTATAGGTCTTATTTGAATTTTATTGGCACCAATAAAAAACCAGTTGACCCCATCTTTTTGTCGTGAATAAGACCAATAAGGCCCCTATATGTTGTACCTATTTGTCACTTATAGAACCAATAGACACGTATTGGCACCATTAGGGTTCAATAGGAGACACCTGTTTGTCCCCTATAGGACCAATGAATATGTATTAGTACCTATAGACGACAGCTATTTGTGCTTATTTGTACCAATAGCCTTTAATAGGTGAGACATATTTGTCGCCTATAGAACCAATAGATAGCATTTATAAGACGAGCAGGTGTGAATTGCCACCAGAGTCAAATGAATTGTGGGGTTACATGCACGGTATTAAATGGTCATTCATATGTATTTCACTTAGTACCAAATCCAACAGAAAGGAAGATTTTGATTTGCTCAATATGTGAGCAAAGTGCCGGTTATTATTTTTATATTTGAGAGTTCCAAAATATTGCACCCACAATTTTTTCCATAAATATCTCCAAAATTATTTCACACCTGTGAATTTGAGTAATTTCATTCTGTACTCAACATTATGATTATTATACTTGCTAGATAAGACCTCAAAAATTAAGGGTCAACTTATCATAAGAGCTGAAAAAACAGCGTTGCTGCAGCTAATATGTTTCAGCAGGGAAACTGAATGTTCGTGTAAACACAGCGGTGTACTGCTTACTTTCAAAGTGCATGCAAACGGGGAGGGGGGAAGCAATAAGT